GCCTCTGAGGCATAGAAAATGCCTATCCAGTTTTTGCATTCTCATTGCCTGGCACATGGTAGATGCTCTATAATTAAGGTTGTCTCACCCAGCAAGCTTCTTCTTTTTCTTTTAGCCTGTGCTGGGATTGTTTGAGGTTATTTGCAAATTACTGAAACAAATATTCAAAAAAAAAAAAAAAAACACACACACAACTACAAAAACCCCAAACTATAAACTATTAGAACAGATATTCTGTGTCTTCTGTAGTATTGGTATTCTATTGAAATCAGTATGGTGTTCATGATCTGAGCCACAGTCAGTTCCCAGTCTTGTTTTTGCTAGCTGTATAGAGCTTCTCCATCTTTGACTGCAAAGAATATAATTCATCTGATTTCAGTATCGACCATCTGGTGATGCCCATGTGTAGAGTCATCTCGTGTGTTGTTGGAAGAGAGTGATTGTTATGACCAGTGCATTTTCTTGGCAAAAAATTTTGGTGCATTAATTTACTGATATTCTACCCACTTAGCCCACTGAAATCTGACTTTAGTTACTACCACTAACAAAAAGCTTCCTTTCCGAGCTATCTAGGATCTTCCAGCTTGCCATTTCAACTGTGTCTGTTGAATGATGACACTTTTTCTGTCTCTGCAGTTTTTGGCACTGTTGTATTGTTGATACCATCTTTCTTAAAATGTTTTTGTACTCTTAGTTTCTGTATCATGGCACTTTCACAATTTGTTGTCTTTCTTTGACTATTACACTAAATAGGATAAGTGGGAAAGTGTCTTATATTTGAGGTAACCATATGTTTGGGCATATCTGGTCATTTCTTTATCTGTTTACATTCACTCGACAAATATTTATTGAGTGACAACAAAGTGCTAGCCCTGGATATGTAGTGGAGAGCAAAACAGATATCAATACAGTCTTTCTGAAGTTCAGAGTTTCAACTTTGTATTTTGTATCTGTTGCTATTGTATAACAGATTGCCTCAAATTTAGTGGCTTAAAACAATACACTTGTTATCTTATAGTTTTGATGGACCAGGCATCTGGGCATGGCTTAGCTCTGCTCTCTGCTTCAGATCTCTCATAAGGCTGCAGTCATGGTGTTGGCCAGGGATGGAGTCTCATCTGAAGCTATGACTGGGGAGAAAATGCTTCCAAGCTTGTGTTGATATTGGCGAGATTTATTTCCTTGGAGACTGGTGGACTCAGGGTCTCAGTTCCTTACTGGTTGTTGACCAGAGGCCACCATTTATTCCTTGCCATGTGGGCCTCTATATAGCAGCTTGTTTGATTAGAACCAGTAAGTAAGAGAATCAGTAGAGTTGGATAGCAAGATGGAAGTTATAACCTCATCTAATGTATTCATGGAAGTGGTAGCCAAGGGTTGTTTTTTTTTTTAAATTGAAGTATAGTTGATGTACAATAATGGTAACCCACTCCAGTACTCTTGCCTGGAAAATCCCATGGACAGAGGAGCTTGGTAAGCTGCGGTCCATGGGGTTGCTAAGAGTCGGACTCGACTGAGCGACTTCACTTTCCCATTTCACTTTCATGCATTGGAGAAGGAAATGGCAACCCACTCCAGTGTTCTTGCCTGGAGAATCCCAGGGACGGGGAAGCCTGGTGGGCTGCCATCTATGGGGCCACACAGAGTCAGACACAATTGAAGTGACTTAGCAGCAGCAGCAGCAGCAGCAGTATGTAAATTACAGGTGTACCATATAATGATTTACAATTTTTAAAGGTTATACTCCATTTGTAGTAACTATAAAATATTGGATGTATTCTCTGTGTTGTACAGTCTGGTATCCTATTATTTTATTTGAATTCTAATGGTTAGAGTCAAATTAAAGATCCAACTCATGTTCAAATGGAAGAGATCACCCAGAGCAGAGCTATCTGGAAACAGAGATTCACTGGTGGCCATCTTAGAGTCTGCCTCTCACAAACCTCTTAATGTTTTTTTCTTAGAAATTCTAGCCACCTCAACTTCTAGTGCTCTCAAACTGAACACATAAAGTTTTCCCTGAATTCATAGGTTTTCCCTAAATCTACATCTCATCCTATATTCCCTGACTTGGTCAGCAACCTTATATCCATCTAGTCATCTAGTCTAGAAACCCAGAGATCATTTTTAATACCTCCTCCTGATAGCTCAGTTGGTAAAGAATCCGCCTGCAATGCAGGAGGCCCTGATTCCATTCCTGGGTCGGGAAGATCCCCTGGAGAAGGGATAGGCTACTCACTGCAGTATTCTTGGGCTTCCCTTGTGGCTCAGCTGGTAAAGAATCTGTCTGCAATGCGGGAGACCTGGGTTTGATCCCTGGGTTGGGAAGATCCCCTGGAGAAGGGAAAGCCTACCCATTCCAGTATAATGGCCTGGAGAATCCCTTGGACTGCGTAGTATGTGGGGTCGCAAAGAGCTGGACATGACTGAGCAACTTTCACTTCGCTCACCTGAGATATAATGGATCACTAGGCTCTGTGAGTCTTTCATATCATTCTCTACTTAATATTCACATTGCTGTAGCTTAGCTCTGCCATGGATCTTTATACTAACTTTCTAACCTTTGGTCCTCCTTTTGGTCCCCAGAGTTACCACTTACAGCCTGGGCTCCACTTTTCCAGGCTTCTTGCCCACAGCTCTTTGCCCTGGTGCCCTAGGCATACACCACTTGCTTCCAGAGCCCACCATTGCATGTTTGTGCCTCTACATTTGGTCCTACTTCTTGGATTCCCTTCTCCCTACTTCTGCCTCTAGAAACCTCTTTATACATCCAAATCTAACTGAAAAATCATCTGTTCCATAAAACTTTTCTCAGTTTTCCCTCTGCCTCCTAACTTCCTCATTCAGAATTAACCTGTGTGCTCTCTCAGCCCTTTTTCACTTGTACCACTGTTATAAGATTGCTTTCTGTAACAGAAAAAGTGGTTTGTGTTTTTTGCTTTCTGCAATTTTTAGTTGGTTGCTAAGGTTCTTCTCGTTTAAAATGCGAAAGGGTAGGCTCTAGATCTTATTCTACTCTGGATCCAAAGTACCTCTCTCTGAAGTGGTGATTCACAGTCTTAGCTGCTTTTGGGATTACTTGGGGAGCTCTGAACATCACTGATGCCTGGACCCACCCCTCAAGGTGACAATATAATTGGTCTGGGGTACAACCTGCGGTATTAACATTTTTAAAAGCTCTGTAATTCTAACATGTAGGTCACACTGAAAGTCTCTGCTTCTAGCTGGAGAAACCAAGTCTCTGGGAGAATGAAAGGATAAGAAAATGTTAAACATTTAATGAACAGAGAAACTTTAAACCAGAGTTAAAGTTGAGTTTTAAAAAATCACACACACACAATTCAAATAATACATGACACAGCTAAGTAATCAGTTCAGTTCAGTCGCTCAGTCGTGTTTGACCCTTCGTGACGCCATAAACCGCAGAATGCCAGGCCTCCCTGTCCATCACCAACTCCCAGAGTTTACCCAAATTCATGTCCATTGACTTGGTGATGCCATCCAACCATCTCATCCTCTGTTCCCCGCTTCTCCTCCTACCCTCAAATCTTTCCCGGCATCAGGGTCTTTTCCAGTGAGTCGGCCCTTTGCATCATGTGGCCAAAGTATTGGAGCTTCAGCTTCAGCATCTGTCCTTCCAATGAATACCCAGGACTGATTTCCTTTGGGATGGACTGGTTGGATCTCCTTGCAGTCCAAGGGATCTTAAGAGTCTTCTCCAACACCATAGTTCAAAAGTATCAATTCTTCAGTGCTCAGCCTTCTTTATAATCCAACTCTCATGACCATATATGACTACTGGAAAAACCATAGCCTTGACTAGATGGACCTTTGTTGACAAAGTATTGTCTCTGCTTTTTAATATGCTGTCTAGGTTGGTCATAACTTTCCTGCCATGGAGCAAGCAGCTTTTAATTTCATGGCTGCAGTCACCATCTGCAGTGATTTTGGAGCCCAAAAATATAAAGTCTGTCACTATTTCCACTGTTTGCCCATCTATTTGCCATGAAGTGATGAGACCGGACGCCATGACCTCAGTTTTCTGAATGCTGAGCTTTAAGCCAACTTTTTCATTCTCCTCTTTCACTTTCATCAAGAGGCTTTTTAGTTCCTCTTCACTTTCTGCCATAAGGATGGTGTCATCTGCATATCTGAGGTTATTGATATTTCTCCCGACAATCTTGATTCCAGCTTGTGCTTCTTCCAGCCCAGATGTACTCTGCATATAAGTTAAATAAGCAGGGTGACAATATACAGCCTTGACGTACTCCTTTTCCTATTTGGAACCAGTCTGTTGTTCCTTGTCCAGTTCTAACTGTTGCTTCCTGACCTGCATATAGGTTTCTCAAGAGGCAGGTCAGGTGGTCTGGTATTCCCATCTCTTTCAGAATTTTCCACAGTTTATTGTGATCCACGCAGTCAAAGGCTTTGGCATAATCAATAAAGCAGAAATAGATGATTTTCTGGAACGTTCTTGCTTTTTCGATGATCCAGTGGATGTTGGCAATTTGATCTCTGATTCCTTAGCCTTTTCTAAAACCAGCTTGAACATCTGGAAGTTCACGGTTCACATATTGCTAAAGCCTGGCTTGGAGAATTTTGAGCATTACTTTACTAGTGTGTGAAATGAGTGCAATTGTGCGGTAGTTTGAACATTCTTTGGGATTGCCTTTCTTAGGAATTGGAATGAAAACTGACCTTTTCCAGTCCTGTGGCCAATAAGTAACCAAGGTGATCTCTAAATAGATCATCAGTGAACTGGGGGAATATGTATTTTTGTGGGAGAAGTTAGAAATATAAAAGAGAATAAAATTGTAGTCATTCAAAATCCAACACTTTAATTTTTGTGCATATGAAATAAGTGATAAAATGAAATAAAGAGTCACCTGGAATTATTAGCATTTTCCTTTTTGTTAGCCCTAAAGTGTGTGTCTGTGTGTGTGTGCATGAAATACATAAATTATTTACCAGTTAATCTTATTTTCTCCTTTATTTTCCAGGGATATTTTGAAAACAATTGCCTTAGGTCAGATGTTATCTTTGTGTATATGCGGGACAGCCATCACCAGCCAGTATTTGGCAGAAAGATATAAAGTGAACACCCCCATGCTTCAGAGCTTTATCAACTATTGCTTGCTGTTTCTAACTTACACAGTGATGCTGGCATTTCGATCAGGTATGTCAAATTACCTTTTTAACAAATTATCTTCATAAAAATGTTTGGCTCTATACATTCAAAAAACAAAAGATGAGCCCAAACCAAAACCAAGAACAGGAAACTGCTGCTGTTTTTATAAAAGTCACTAGAAAGGTATGATACCTCTGAATTCTATGAAGTTAGTGACTAGAGATTTATGTATAGCTCTCTGAAATTGTTGATTAAAATGATTAGCATCAAAGTGTAACATAGGATTTGTCCAAATAAAAGAAAGTGTAAATGGCATTATAAGTTACACCTCTTTTCCCCCCCTGTGGTTGACAAACTTAAGAGACAGTATTAAAAACACTTAAAAATTCAAGAACCTCACTTTCCAAAATATATATTTCCAGCTAAGTGGAGAATGCTAAATAGAGCACCACTGCATGTAAATGTGAGAGAAACAAAACAAGGAATTAACATCTTATCCAAGATTGATTTCAAGAGTGTAAAGACAACGGGTAACCCAGACGGGGAGGGTGCAGTACTACCATTTTCATCACATTTAAAGCATATGATAGAATTACCAGTGTGGTGGTTGCTCACCTCTGATTAAGATCCTCTTTTAATATGAACATTAATACCTCAATGGTATTCCTATACATCAGGATAAATAACTTTTGAAAGAAAGTGGAAGCCAATTATGAGAAGGGGAAAATATCCTAAGGGGAAAGCACCAAATTTGACAAGAACTGTAGGAGCCAGTACTTTGGCCACCTCATGCAAAGAGTTAACTCATTGGAAAAGACCCTGATGCTGGGAAGGATTGGGGGCAGGAGGAGAAGGGGATGACAGAGGATGAGATAGCTGGATGGCATTACCGACTTGATGGGCATGAGTTTGAGTAGACTCCGGGGGTTTGTGATAGACAGGGAGGTCTGGCGTGCTGCGATTCATGGGGTCGCAAAGAGTCGGACACGACTGAGCGACTGAACTGAACTGAACTGAACTGTAGGAGTTGGAAATAGAACTGGTGTATCATGGTTAATAGCCCCAGAATTTGCTCCTCTCTGTAAGAATTGGCCTTTAGGAAGTCAGTATGATTTGTAAATGTAACAGTGAAGTCCCTCTAAGAGATGGTTATTATTGTGTTTAGTTGCTAAGTCATGTCTGACTTTGTGACCCCATGGACTTTAGCCCACCTGGCTCCTCTGTCCATGGGATTTCTCAGGCAAGAATACTGGAGTGATTTGCCATTTCCTTCTCCAGGGGTTCTTCCTGACCCAGAGATTGAACCCCCGTCTCCTGCATTGCTGGCAGATTCTTTTACCACTAAAAAAATGATTTGTAAATAAATCAGTGAAATCCCCCAAGGGATGGTTATTATTAATAGATGCCTTCCATGCTATCTCATGTTAGGAAGACTATGTTTTCAGGATATTCCTGCTCATTGGGATTTAATGATAATTATTGTGGATGGTGACTGCAGTCATGAAATTAAAAGACACTTGCTCCTTGGAAGAAAAGCTATGACCAACCTAGACAGCATATTAAAAAGCGGAGACATTACTTTGCTGACAGAGGTTCGTATAGTCAAAGCTATGGTTTCTCCAGTAGTCATGTATGGATGTGAGAGTTGGACCATAAAGAAAGCTGAGCACTGAAGAATTGATACTTTTGAACTATGGTGTTGGCGAAGTCTGCTGAGAGTCCCTTGGACTGCAAGGAGATCCAACCAGTCCATCCTAAAGGAGATCAGTCCTGGGTATTCATTGGAAGGACTGATGCTGAAGCTGAAGCTCCAATACTTTGGCCACATGATGCAAAGGGCCGACTCACTGGAAAAGACCCTGATGCCGGGAAACATTGAGGGTAGGAGGAGAAGCGGGGAACAGAGGATGAGATGGTTGGATGAGTTTGAGCAAACTCTGGGAGATAGTGAAGAACAGGGAAGCCTAGTGTGCTGCTGTCCATGGGGTTGTTCAGAGTCAGACACGACTGAGCGACTGAACAACAGAATCTGACTATGATTCTCACTACCTTGATTTCTTGCAGGTTATCTTACCCACAAAGCCTTCTTGTATAGATGCCAACTCTGTATCTCCTTGTGATCTTCAAAGAAATGATTCACAGTTAACTTGAATAAATAGAATTTAGGGGATAAAAGGTGTTTCTTCAATGATGCCACTAAGTCATTTTTTCAAACTTACCACTGGCTTAATTATCTGTTGAAAGCAGATCTTTTCTAAAAGAATGACCACAGAGTTTTGGTCTGTTTGATAAATTTATAAGAAAACATTTCATTTCCTCAGATGATCTGGATGTTATATTTTTGTTGCAGTAGGAAAGAAAAAGGAATTCAGTGAATTTAACCACTGTTACTTCCTTTATCTTTGTTGTTTTCATTGAGCACTTGGTCTATGATGACACCTTAGCTTGGGCTTCATACTAGAAAAAAATCTGAGCTATTCTGCTGAGCTGTTGCAGGAGCTTGAGTTATGAATAATGGACATTTGGAGGGACCATGTTCAATGTACATAGTGGTAAAGTTTGTGCCTATAATGCAGGAGACCTGGATTAGGTCCCTGGGTTGGGAAGATTTCCTGGAGGAGGGCATGGCAATCCACTCCAGTATTCTTGTCTGGAGAATCCCCATGGACAGAGAAGCCTGGTGGACTACAGTCTATAGGGTTGCAAAGAGGCAGACACAGCTGAGCGACCAAGCACAGCCCAGCACAAATACTAGCTTTGACTCTTTATCTCTAGGTTAACATGCATGGAGTAATTTTCAAGTAACATGTCCTAATCTAGATTTCTTTCAACCAGGTAGTGATAATCTTTTATACATCTTGAAAAAGAAATGGTGGAAGTACATCCTGCTTGGACTAGCAGATGTAGAAGCTAATTACCTGATTGTCAGAGCATACCAGTACACAACTCTAACCAGTGTCCAGGTAAGAAGGAGTCCTCTGACCAGTTTGGATTTTATAGCTTTAAGAGAGGAATCTGAACTTATATGTGCTCACCTAATTTCCTTAAGAACCTGTTCACTCAGAAAAAAACTAAAAATAGTGGATGTTATCTGTTTTCCAGTGGAGCATGTGTGCTAATGCGAAAGGCTTCCTGGAATTAGTGAAAATGTGTGCAAGTTAATCTGTCCCTAAACTGCTAATGCTATAGATGAATAGAACAGTTGCTACCAAATAAACATAAATATTTAGTTGGCAATCGATGCTGTGATGTTGGCAAGAGTTCTGTTTTGTGTGTTGCTTAAATGGCATATAAAGTGAATATACTATTGTGTCCCAGAAAAGTTGGAGTCTTACAAGTAAAGTAGAAATCTAAGACAACTAATAGGTTGTTGTCTTTTTGTTGTTATCTAATAGGGCATTAGACATTTTAGGTAAAGGTGGTAGCCAAAAGTAAAACTTATACCTGTTCCTTTTCTAGGTTTATTCTCATTAGGTTGAAAGAAAAATGTTCCTACATAGCAGTACTTTTCAGCTTGGTGGAGTTGAGGACGACTGATTAAGTTGTCTTAACATTAGGGAGTTCCCTGGTGGCCTTAGTGGTTAGGATTCTGGACTTTTTCACTGCTGTGGCCAAGTTTGATCCCTGGTTGGGGAACCAAGATCCAGCAAGCTATATCCAGCAAGCAAGATCCACCCTAGACAAAGAAGAGTTGTCTTAATGTTAGCAAACTTGGGATGTATCATAACACTGACTCCTCATTGCTAATAATAAAATGTGTTGTAAATGGAGAAGAAAGTAAAATAGATACCCATGTCAGGTTTAGACTTCACAGTTTACTGAATTTATGACTTAAAAAAAAATTGGTTGCGGCATGTGGTATCTACTTTCTTTACCAGGGATCAAACCTGAGCTCCCTGCATTGGAATCGCAGAGTGTTAGTCACTGGACCACCAGGGAAGTCCCTGAATTTATGACTTTTGATGCACCTTTTTTTTTTTGGCTGTGCTGTATAGCTTGCAGAATCTTAGTTCCCCAGCCACGGAGAGATTTCCCTGTGCTCTCAGCAGGGAAAGCACAGAGTCTCTACCACTGGACCACCAGAGAATTCCTGTTGCTTCACTTTTTCCTATAAAACAGAGATGGTCTTATCGCCAAATTTAAGAAACATGGAAAAATTGAAGATTTAAAGAGAAAGATTAATGATTAATGAAAACTCAGTATTTTTCTGATGTGAATACGCGTTAAATGCTATTATTACCAGAATGCCATTTAATACTGTGCTAAGCATTGTCCTCTGGGCTTCCCAGGTGGCTCAGTGGTAAAAAGAATCTGCCTGTCAAGCAGAAGACGCGGGTTTCATCCCTGGGTCGGGAAGATCCCCTGTAGAAGCAAATGACAACCCACTCCAGTATTCTCGCCCGGAAAATCCCATGGACAGAGGAGCCTGGTGGGAAAGATAGGAAATCTTTTATGAGACAGACATCATAAGAGGCACATGAAAAACTCAGAATTTCATAGAAATTAAAACCAAGAGTTACCTAGAAGATGCATTCATCACAAATAGTATTAAGTGTACTTTTAGCAATGAATAATAAGAGTGTAAGTATATAGAAAATGTAGCCTATATAAAAGAGCTGACTCATTGGAAAAGACCCTGATGCTGGGGAAGATTGAGTGCTGGAGGAGAAGGGGGTGACAGAGGATGAGATGGTTGGATGGCATCACCAACTCAATGAACATGAGTTTGAGCAAACTCTGGGAAATAGTGAAGAACAGGAAAGCATGGCACGCTGTGTTCCATGGAGTCACAGAGTCAGACACAACCTAGTGACTAAACAACAACAAATACAGAAAATGGCATTTTTTAGTCACATTTACCTTCATGATCTCACACACAGTTTAATTGCTTGATTATAATTCTCAGAAATTTTGATCTGTGACAGATAATGATTAGGAGTTTTGAATTGGTACAGGTCTAAACAGAGCTAAGCAAAATACTTACACTGAGGTTTTGTGACTAAAGTTCATGCCTTAAACTAATCTCAAATGATTTCTTTCATCCTAGCCTCTTAGAAAAACCTAAGCATTTGGTTGTCTAAAATTAAGTACTTATGGTACTAGGAAGCCATATTATAAAAAGTGCATCTAACAGCTAAACCTCCTTCCATCAGAGAAGAGTGCCTGTCATTGGAATTCTTCAATCAGATTATCTCCTTGAGTAAACCTCTAGTCTGGTTAATCTGAAAGGGTAGAAATTTGCTTCTTTGTTTCTTAATGGACACACAACATGTAGGATCTTAGTTTACCAACCAGGTATGGAACCAGTGCCCCCTGCAGTGGAAGCACAGAGTCCCAACCACTGGACCACCAGGGAATTCCCCCTGAGAGGGTGGAAGTTTAAATTGGATGGTCTTTGAACCTCTTTCTTAAGGATTCTTTCAAGGATTCTGTGATTGTAAATACTAATGTAGTAGTTCATGATGTGTCCATTGACATTGCTGGCCTAAGTTTCTACTCATGTTACTTCTCATGTCACTTGCCGTATCTACACATTCCCTACGCACAGCCAGCTTCTCTCTCTTACGTTGCTCTATTATTTCTAGAATGCATCCTTTTCAAAGCCCCTTCTCAAAGGCCTAATTCAATTTCATTTTCTTCTCTATAGAGTATACTCCATTGTATCACTAACAAAGTCTGATTCATGTTTATATCCATCCTTCCCCCTCATTCCAGGTTCTTACTTCCTGTGTCTATATAATAATTTTTTTTAAAGCAAAGATGAATATTTTTAATAATGAAAGGAGCAATTCACAAAGAAGGTAGACATCAGAAACCATTAGATACCTTATCAAGAAACAAAGATACATAAAGGAAAAATCAGAAGAAATGAAAAGAAAAAATATATAATCATAGTGAGACATATTAACATTTCTCTGAGAGTATTTTATCAAGTGCAGAAAAAATAAGAATAAGAGCATCTTGAATGATGTCATTAATAATTTAAATATAATAGATTTATATTTAATTAATTTATATTGATCATATCCTACACAAATATATTTAAAATTTTTTATCTCATATGTTGTTATTAGAAGTCCATAGGACATTTAGAAAACCTGGCAAAAAGATAAACATTACTTAATTTCAAAAAGTAGAATTTTCTTGTGTGTATGATTCAGTTATACACACATGTTATTTTTGAAATTATTTTCCATTATAGGTTATTACAAGATATTGACTATAGTTCCCCATGCCACACAGTAAACCTTTGTTGCTTGTTGCATATCTATTTTTTTAAATCAGAAATCTAGCCAATAATTTTTAAAGATTAAATTAAATAGACGGCTCTTAGAACTAAAAGCATCAAGCAGAAGGCATCTGTCACCAGGAATACATTTTGAAAAGATTCAGTTTAGATAAATGACTGTGATAGATACCAGATTAGAAGTCATGGAACTTTAGAGTGGCCAGGTATCTTGAGATCATTTGGTCTGACTTCTTGATTTCAGATTTTGACTCAAGAGTTGACTAGCTGGAAATCACATAGTTGGTCAATGTCAGGGCTGGATCCTGAGGCCTTGGGAGCTTTTACTAAGATGTAGGTGCCTCCCTTATATGGCCAGTCATTGCCCACCAAAAATGGTTAAAAATAGAGCAGGTTTAAGTTTGATTTTAAGACACAATTTGAGGATAGGGAGTCTTCTGTGATAGTTTTTAGAGTGATTTTTGTCTACTTTTTTTTTGTTTAAGGAATATAGTTTCGATTTTATTACTTCACTATGGCTAGATTCTTTTGGTGTCTTCCAGGACAAGCTATTATCATTTGTATCGTTTAATGGTTTGTTTTTCAGGCAGGCTCAATAAAGCACTTAAGAGATTAGAGTTCTATAGATGGAATAAATAACAGAAGGCAAAGTGCCCATTCCTATACTTGACATTGCAATGAAAGGCAATCAGTAAACAATTGTGGACAGGATCAAACAAGCTGCTGAGATTTAGGGGCCTGCCTTGTCCAAGACTAAATAGATACAGAGCACATCAGAGACAAGGTTAAAAAAAAGAACAGGATGAGCAGTCACATAGCAACATCAGGAACACTATTAGTAAAAGGAATATATTTTATCCTTGAATGTACTCTACAAATGTGTGCTTTTGAGAATCGAATGAATGAAATCTCTTTTTCCTTTATCTTGCAAAGATTTTGGATTTACTATAATTTTGGCATTCTTAGTCCCCCTGCCTTTCAGACTGGCAATATCAGGGGTGTAGAAAGTATTTTCTGGAGCCAGGATCAACAGGTGGTGGAGGAGTATATGAAGATGAGCGAGAGTATTTGCTGGGAGCAAGTATCTGTCTTATATGGTGAGGTTGGACACTTTGTCAGGGAGATGGTGTCTGTTTGCTTTCTCATAATAACCTGTTCTTTTTGTAGTTCTTAAGCCCAATTGCAATTAAACATTGGTTATGCGATTTTTCTCTGTCTAGGGTTCTAAATACTCCACTTTGTGCCTTTCCTGTTCTCTCCATTCCACCTCCTCCATTAGTGTCTCCCACATATCATGTACTTAAATATTTATTGACTGAATGGGTGCATGTCTACTGGACTTAAGGATAAACACAAGTGAGAGTGTAGAAGTAAATTGCATAGGCTGTTGGGCAGAATTCCTGGGTTCATCAACTGACTCCCAAACTTTTAACTGTGTAATTTTGGGCAGCTCATTTAACCTCTCTGTGACTTTGGTTTCCTCATGGGTAAAATGGAGGTTGAAGTTCCAGTTTCATAGAGTTGTTGTGAGGATTAAATGAGTTCATCCAGATAAAGCATTTAGTACAGGGCTGGCAATAATAAATGCTCAATAAACACTGATTTCTGTTATTACTTAGCCATTTTTTCACTAATGAGAGATATTTTCAGGTATTTATTTCTCTTTTCATGCAGCTTTTGGATTGCTTTGGGATTCCTGTGTTGATGGCTCTTTCGTGGTTTATTCTTTATGCAAGATACAGAGTGATCCACTTCATCGCTGTGGCTGTCTGTCTGTTGGGTGTAGGAACTATGGTTGGTGCAGACATATTAGCTGGGAGGGAAGACAATGCAGGTGAGACCGTGTTACTTGTTTTCTGGTTTAGTCACAGAAGACATCTTGCTTGCGCCTTCACTTTTATTTTGCAAAGATAAAGTAAAAGGCAGAGGACATGTCCCGATTACCTATCTTAAAATTTTTATTTTTAGATTTGCTTGCTTCTGGTACTATGACCACTTGAACACAGCAGTCTATGTTCCTACCTGCCCAGAGTCTTTGCTTTTTGTCATACTCATCTGTTTTGTGTCCTGAGAGAGAAGTTTCTTTATATATTTGCAATAATCTTCTTTTGGCCCATACATTCAGATTAGTTGCCGGAAACCCTACTGTAGATTTTGTTTCCATCAAAAAGGAGACTTTGTGTTCACAGAATGACCTCTATTTCAGTTACTCTGTAGATGAGAACATTTTGATACTCTTTATGTCACGGTTGAGATGTCACGGTTGAGATAGTTCATAGTGTAAAATCTAAATAAGGTCTATGAATTTCTCCAATCTGCAAACAACTTCAGTGTCTCCTTTGATTGAGAAAATTACCTTGCTTACCTAGCTTCCTTCCCTGTAGTTTTCAATGAATTCCCATTAATAAATTCCATTAATTTCCCATGTCATAGAATCATTTTTCTGGGACCTTACATTATGGTATACACTACCATCTTCCAATCTGTTAGTCTCCTGAAGATCCAAAATAAGAAAAACGAAAGCAGAATTGTGCCAGAAAGTGAGAAGAGTAAGAGTCTTTAAACTTTTAAAAATCAGGGTTTCTTCTTCTATAAAATCTTTTTTAGATGATTATGAGCCAGATAAACTTATGGAAGCAAGCTGGAGAGTTTCCCCTAGTGACAATGTATTCCTTTTTATGGCTTATCTCTCTATAGGTAATAATGTACTGATTGGTGACATCTTGGTCCTTCTTGGAGCTTCCCTCTACGCTGTTTCTAATGTGTGTGAAGAATACATCGTGAAGAAGCTGAGCAGACAGGAGTTTTTAGGAATGGTGGGCTTGTTTGGAACAATTATCAGTGGCATACAGCTGTAAGATTCTAAACATATCCTTAAAAACAAAATCAGCAAATATGTCATAGATGATTAGTTTCCAGCTACTAACATGCATTGTTTATTTGGCCTAAATTCATATTTGAAATCAGTAACTTGCTAAATGTCTATTAGAAGATTGTTGAAATGTCAATAATTATGCCTCATTTTTTTTACACATGTTTGATGCTTAAGATTCCTGCTTGTAATATCATTAGACTTTATATTACCAGTGAAGACTTTCTTTTTTGGTTATTCCTAGAAAATATTAACTTCCTATTCATAATATCATGTTTCCCTCCTGTAGCTGACTACCACTAAACAGTGCTTCTAAGGGTGTCAAACATGTGTTTATGGACTCCTTTGAGTTTTATTCTTTGTCATCTAATTAAAGATAGTTTTTTTTTTAATATTCTATGAAAACCAAAAGTCAACATAATTCATCATCTTAAGAGCTGAGGCACTTAAAGTGAAGTACTTGAAGTTTTGAAGCGACTTACTTGTTTATAAAACAGTGAAAATTTATATAAAGATCTCTCTGTGACCTCTTGTTTTAATCACAGATTGATTGTGGAATATAAGGATATTGCCAGCATTCATTGGGACTGGAAAATTGGTATGTATATATATAATAGTTATTTTTAATCTTTCCCCGACACACACCAAGAAATAAATATTTTAATAATACTATTTAGGCATTTTTATATAAAATCACAGAGTAATTTAGTACACAGAAAACTATAGTGGTTTATGTCAAGTTTCTCTGAGAACTTGTAAATGAACCCCCATAAAAGTTAATCCTTAATCTTTACCTTCAAGAATAACCTTTCTTTACTAGGAATTCTGAATAAGACTGACCTTTGGTCACACTAGCTTTCAACTAGATCTGTACTTCGTGTCTTCAGACTGCTTGTAAAGATTACCTGCTTGATATAATCAGTGAAGTATTAACTTAAATAATCTGATGGTGTGCAGTCACTACCATCTTGCATTGCCTCTCTCATCTGATAGTCTTAAGCATCTGTACAGATGAGCAGCAGAAGAAAGCAGTAGTGGGACAGTCAGGAAAGATTTGAACCTTACGGATGGAAAAAAGTAGTGCATGAGTGTCATTGAATTGAAATTCATCTACTGTGCTTGGATGCTTTCATTCAAGTAAATAGCTTAGATTTCCTGTGTGTGTACTGTGTATGTGTTGAGTGAGGATGGAGAAGCGGTTGTGAAGCAGAGATACTAAGTTTTGTCAGCACCCACATGACTAGCTGCCTGGGATAAACAAAAGATAAAATCCTAACAACTGTCTTTGATGCCCTAAAAATACTTTATTCTGAATTCAGCCACACAAATCATGTCCAACCATGATGCCTTTTATCATTGGCATCTCTCTGGGCAGGTGTGGGTAGCATGGAGTGAAAAGAGCTGTTAACTTATGCCATATGCAAGATTCTATGGCCTTGATCATCTAATACTCTGTTGGGTTTTTTTAAGTTCTTCATCTACATCCAGTGGGAACTTTGTATGTTTCATTTGTAATGCTTACTGTTAACGAGGGACTTTGTGGACGGTATGTTAAAGGATCAGGGAATTTTACGTCTGGCAAGCTTTATCCTTTATCTTTTGATTTCTTCCTTTAACATTAGATATTCCATTTTTTCCCCCACAGCCCTGCTATTTGTAGCATTTGCCCTCTGCATGTTTTGCCTGTACAGCTTCATGCCACTGGTGATCAAAGTCACCAGTGCCACTTCTGTCAACCTGGGCATCCTGACAGCTGACCTTTACAGTCTTTTCTTTGGACTTTTTCTGTTTGGCTATAAGGTGAGCATATAGATCTTGTTCAAATAAGAACACTTGTTTGGTATAAAAGAAGTAGTGAGTTTTTTAAAAATTTTAGATCCCCAAATAAAACCTCATCTCCTTAGCAAGAATTTCTTACTGCCTTAGAAATCTATCTTTCCATAGTATAAAGCTTGTTGACCTGCCTGCTATTACAATCATTTGAACAAATAGAATGTCAGCTGTTGCTTGCTAATGTTACGTTTAGCTGGGTATAGCAACTGTATTTCTTTATCTTTATAAAGTTTTAGATCTGGGTGGAAATAACTTGGTATTGATTGACACTATTCCCAGGAATTGACCATGAACTCAGAATGCCTACTTCACTGTGTTCCCAGAAATTTCTGCTTAAGAAGCATAAACCAGTTTTGCTTTTCAAGATTATGTCATAGGAACTAGCTGTTATCGTTGCAACAACCCTGCTGGTTATGGTATTCACGAACTAAGCCTGAAGAAGTATTTATAGCTGTTTGGTGGCATCATTAGAAAGTGACCCATGTCAGAGTGAATCAGAACAGTGATCTTAATAGGCTTAGGTTCTTTCCTGTGATAACGATCATTACGGGGTACAAAGCAAGCCTTTCAAGTGCGTTAGCTGTTCTGTGCTGGTGTTATTGCATTTCATGTGGCCTCCACTAGAGGAGACTGTGGTGATTTTATTCTGCAGTTCAAGGCCAGGTGATGGCTACCAGAGAAAGCTTGAAAGCTCTGCAGTATAACTTGTGGCCTGGCTCACCTGTGCTTTTTTTAAAACTAAACATATTGAGATAGCATTAGTAGTTTAACATTTACTTTTCCCTCATAAGTAAAATAATGTCCAAGGAGGAAGTAAGCGTAAAGAAACGAAAGCTTCATAGTGAAAATACACTTGTCGCTACCTATTATAAGCTCCCTAATTGTAGATATTTGCTCTTTAACTGCGATTAACTTTAATGAGAAAAAGACATTTTGTGTGTCATTGTTTTGCCCAAATGATTTACACTATTGTTTTCAAAATGGAACGTGCAAACGATAAGTTCCTTTGCAGTTCTTTTGCTTCGTGTTTCTTTGTCCCTGCATGTCTAGCAGCTCACTTTTAACTCAGATCAGATTTTATTCTTTTTGGTCAAAAGCTATTTCAAGACTTGTAAAGGAAAGAGGAGGTCTGCTGTGATCTTCAGAGTAAATTACAGAGGTTGGAAATCATACAGAACATCAAGAAGATACCTAGAATTTTAGAAGAAAATTTTAAGTAAAGAATCACAGCTCAATATATCACCAATTTAAAAAAGTGTAGCATCTAAGATAACTTGGGCTCTGATATTTTGAAACAGTTGAAGAAGATGTTAAAAATTTCTACCTTCATTGGTGTCAGACTCCACACCCCCAGATTGATCTTTAGTAAATATTCACTGAACAGAGTAGCCACAGAAACTTCCTATATAGATCCAGACACAAAGGGTAGAATTGAAAATTGAAAAAATTGAAAATTCAGGAGACTTATTATCTCATTCCCTCAGAGTCTCTGTCTTCTAATAAAGGTGCCTCCATTTAATCACCTGGTGGCTCAGATGTTAAAGAATCTGCATGCAATACGGGAGACCTGGGTTCGATCCCTGTATCAGGAAAATCCTCTGGAGAAGGGAATGGATATCCACTCCAGTATTCTTGCCTGGAGAATTATGGACAGAGGAGCCTGGTGGGCTACAGTTCATGGGGTTGCAAAGAGTTGGACATGATTGGGCAACTAATACTTCTTAAGAGGAACAAAACTTTTTCTTATAAGCATTTAAAACCTCCAAATCAAGCAGAACATGTTTTGAATAAGTTACTGTGTTTCTTCACAGTTAAAAACAAACATTCTATGGGAGAGCACAATTGACTTTTATGATACCGACTTCAAAAGTTTCAGTTCAGTTCAGTTCAGTTTAGTCGCTCAGTCGTGTCCAACCACATGAATTGCAACATGTCAGGCCTCCCTGTCCATCACCAACTCCCGGGGTTGACTCAAACTCAAGTTCATCGAGTCGGTGATGCCATCCAGCCATCTCATCCTCTGTCGTCCCCTTCTCCTCCTGCCCCCAATCCCTCCCAGCATCAGGGTCTTTTCCAATGAGTCAACTCTTCTCACGAGATGGCCAAAGTATTGGAGTTTCAGCTTCAGCATTAGTCCTTCCAATGAACACCCAGGACTGACCTCCTTTAGGAGGGACTGTTTGGATCTCCTTGCAGTCCAAGGGACTCTCAAGAGTCTTCTCCAACACCACAGTTCAAAAGCATCAATTTTTCAGCGCTCAGCTTTCTTCACAGTTCAAAAGTTTAGGGTACTCTAAATAGCTTTAACTCCCCCTTAATCTTCTCTGAATCACTTCCCCCACCCCCAAAGCTCCCCCCCCCCCAAGCAAAACACATTTATTCAATACTAGCTATGTGCTGGGTGCTGTGCTGAGATTGGATCCAAGAATGAAACCCATGGAGGGAATTAGTTTGGCTCCTACTCTGCTTGAAATTATCACTGGCTTTGCATCATCACTGAATCCATTGGAGGCTTTCCCTCTTTGGGGAGGGCTCTGGCTATTCCAGGCTTCTCAAAGTTTAAGGTTAAGTAGTAATTGAGCATCTATGAAACATTAACTTGTTAAAACCAATGGTGACCTGTAGAAGCCCATAGCTGGAGGTAACCAGCAATCTATGTAATACTCATTTCAAAACCTATTTTGTTTCTCCTTCTACCTTTGGGAATGGGTCTCACTTTTTCTTCTCTTTCATTTTACTTCTCTTTTCCTTCTCCAACCCATTCTGTTTGCTTATTGTTTCATGCCATTGTTATATGTTGTGTCTAAATTTGGGTCTTTCCTTTTAGCCTCTCCACTAAGTAAGTGGGACTAGTTGTGAGGTGGGATGTAGCTGTATTATTGCAGAGAAAGGCAAGAGTCCGTTTCCTAGAGATCTAAGATTTTTTACCCAGTTGACTGATGTGCTGGGTAATGGTGGCAGAAATCACACATTCACCAGTACACACACTTGGGACAGTTTTGGTCCTTTGTATCTCCTTGGACAACTTTCAGATAAAAATATTATGAGAAGGTAGCTCTCCAAACTCAGTGGACAGAAGGCAGCGGCAAAGATGTGTCTGTGAGAGAGTACTATCCATAGCCTCGCCTCTCCTCCTAGTTTTCAGGACTCTACATCCTGTCCTTCACCGTCATCATGGTAGGTTTCATCCTGTACTGCTCCACCCCAACGCGCACGGCAGAGCCAGCTGAAAGCAGCGTGCCGCCAGTCACCAGCATTGGAATTGACAACCTGGGGCTGAAGCTTGAGGAGAGCCTGCAGGAGACCCACTCTGCCGTCCTGTAGCTGGAGAAGAAGGCATACACGTCCACATGAGGTTTCCTGGGGAGCTGGGAGCTGTCACCTGGATAAAGCAGAGCCTACTGCTTTGGGACACTTGAAAACTTATCAGAGTGAACACTCTGTAACATTGGGTTTGATCCAGTTGGATTTTAAAAGGAATATTAAAATCATGTATCAAAAGTGGAAATGCCAAAATAGAGCAGAAGCCGAGGCTAGGATTGTGTTTCTGTATGTTTCGGGCCCAATACCTGTTAGTGTCAGGGAGACAAGGTATGGGGCGCACCCTGGGCTGTTAGATGCACAAGTGGGAAAGCAGGATTGGGCAGACACTTGGGTGTGAGCCAGACTGGGCTAAGTAGTCAGGAGGAGGGGCAGCCCAGGGTGGTTGGGAGTAGGTTTTCTCATTTGGAGGCATCTGAGTTTTGTCTTCCTGAGCCAATTATTGTCCACAAACCTTGTGGCCTTTTAGGAAAGGGAAAATGGGTGGGGCAGCACTTGAGAAATCCTGAGATACAACGTGAGTACCATAGAAGCCTTCAAGTGGAGTACGGTAAACCTAGGAACCTTCTCCCAATTGTTACTATGCTACTTCTTAGCAAATAATGTGCCATGCGATTTTTATGATACCTCTTCAATACAGAGTGTTAATATGCAGCAGCATTATGATATCAACTGCCAGTATACCACTTTGTAAAACCTCTGTATGTGAACTTTTTGGGGTGAAAAATATAGTAATGAAACTGAGGGTAAATTCATATTATTAAAAGAATTTGATTTCATGGAAATATATTTACTGTGTGGTTTCTTTGATTACCTAATTCCCCTTGTGGATTTTAAATGACAGTACATTCAAGATTTCCTCATACACATCTTTTTAGAATCATGTCTTCTTCAGGTGGGACAGTCTTCTCTATTTGGGGCTATGTCAGAATAGAGGGGAAATCAGAGCGAGCTCCCAAGTTATTTGCTGGGATAAACATTTAAAACTTTTGAATTACCTTAATTAATTTTTTAAGAAAACTTTTTAAGTGAAATAATCTTTCATTTCCTGCAGCCAGTTAAAACTGATGTTTTACTCTTTACCATTAACAACTGTCAGTGAGTGGAAAAAGGCTATGTTAAAATGTTTGACTCTTTGGAGAAGACTTCCAGTTTGATTAATACACTGATAATTTCTTAAAATACCTTGATTAACAGTAAACCTGGATGTATAGGGATAGTGGTGAAGTAGCCCCGATGGCTCAAGTGGTAGAGAATCCACCTGCTACACAGGAGACACAAGAGGCTTGGGTTCCCTCCCTGGGTCGGGAAGATCCCCTGGAGTAGGAAATGGCAACCCACTCCAGTATTCTTTCTGGAAAACCCCATGGATAGAGGAGCATGGCAGGCTACAGTCCATAGGGTCGCAAAGAGTTGGACACAACTGAGCAGGTAAACAGAGACAGAGACAGATAGGTGCAGAATCTCAGGTGACATTATCCCACTGGACACTCAGTATCCACTATTCTGAGTCTGAGCTCAAATGAACTCAAATGAGTCTGAGCTCAAATGAATCTGAGCTACTATGAAGCCTTTTTTAGGCTGTCTAAGCTGGGTCTCCCCCTCCTTGATGTTCCCAGGGGCCCTTGTTTACTCACATCTTCCTTGTAACACTTATTGAATTGAGGTGCTTGTCATTTACTTGTCCCTTTTTACCACAGGTTGAGCTCTTCCATGTCAACAGCTTTTTATCATCTTTCTGTCCTTTGGTCATCTCACTTCTTCTTGAGTGAAGTGAGATTAATGAACTTTGTCTTTGGTCCCAGTTCAGAACATTTAAGGAGAGTCTGATCTAAAGTAAGCCCTTTTATGTGGATACATGTCTGTTGTTCAGTTGCTAAGTTACGTCCAACTCTTGGTGACCCCATGGACTGCAGCATACCAGGCTTCTCGGTCCTTCCATATCTCCTAAAGTTTGCTCAAACTCATGTCCACTGAGTCGGTAATACCACCCAACCATCTCATTCGAGGTTGACATCTTCTTCTCCTCCCCTCAATCTTTCCCATCTTTTCCAAGAAGAGCTCTTCACATCAGGTGGCCAAAGCATTGGAGCTTCAGCTTCAGCATCAGTCTTTCCAATGAGTATTCAGAGTTGATTTCCTTTAGGATTGACTGGTTTGATCTCCTTGCAGTCCAAGGGACGAGAGTCTTTTCCAGCACCATAATTCGAAAGCAATTCTTTGGCCGCTCAGCCTTCTTTATGGTCCAACTCTCATATCCGTACACAACTACTGGAAAGGCATAGCTTTGACTATATGGAACTTTGTCAGCAAAATGGTATCTCTGTTTTTTAATGCGCTGTCTACATTTGTCATAGCTTTTCTTCCAAGGAGCAAGTGTCTTTTAATTTCATGGCTGCAGTCACCATCCATAGTGATTTTGGAGCCCAAGAAAATAAAATCTGCCACCGTTTTCACTTTTTCCCCATCTATTTGCCATGAAGTGATGGGTCTGGATGCCATGATCTTAGTTTTTTGAATATTGAGTTTTAAGCCAGGTTTTTCACTCTCCTCTTTCACCCTTATCAAGAGGCTCTTGATGTCTGTAGGGAGTAAATTATCCTACCCTGCTCTTTTTTTCACCTATTGCCCTTAATCCTGGTGTTTCTCCTTGCTTGTTCCCTTTGGAAAGGGGCAGAGGAGTTCCAGTCTAGGCATCTCAAATTAAAATTCAGAATTCAGGGTTCCAAAGGAGCAATGGTATGAATGGCATTCAGAAACTAAATAATAATACTGTAAGGCCAGCCATTAAAAAGAATTCATTTGAATCAGTTCTAATGAGATGGATGAAACTGGAGCCCATTATACAGAGCGAAGTAAGCCAGAAAGATAAAGACCATTACAGTATACTAACACATATATATGGAATTTAGAAAGATGGTAACGATAACCCTATGTGCAAAACAGAAAAAGAGACTCCTATGTATAGAACAGACTTGTGGACTCTGGGAGAAGGCGAAGGTGGGATGTTTCAAGAGAACAGCATCGAAACATGTATATTATCTAGGGTGAAACAGTTCACCAGCCCAGGTTGGGTGCATGAGACAAGTGCTCGGGCCTGGTGCACTGGGAAGACCCAGAGGGATTGGGTGGAGAGGGAGGTGGGAGGGGGGACCGGGATGGGGAATACATGTAAAAAAAAAAAAAAAAAAAAAAAAAGATACACTATGGTTGTGAAAAAAATAAATAAATTAAAAAAAAAAGAAGACAGCAGCAACAAAGTCAACTAATACCACTGAGTGTAAAAAAAAAAAAAAAGAATCGCCTGCAGTACCGGAGCCTCAGGAGACACAGGTTCGATCCCTGGGTTGGGAAGATCCCCTGGAGGAGGGCATGGCGACCGACTCCAGTGTTCTTGCCTGGAGAATCCCATGGACAGAGGAGCCTGGTGGTCTACAGTCCATGGGGTCTCAAAGAGTCGGATATGACTGAAGCGACTTCACACACACACAAGGCTGTGCATTCTGGTTTAAGTAAGTTGTGAAGACTGTCACTTTAACTAACCTGCATAATGCCACTTTCATGGAAGATGTGTTTTCAAATATCTGGCTTACACACAAGCTTTTGAAACACAACACATTATTAAGCTGAGAACTTTCTATAAATTCTTTCTCAGTCTATTAAAGCAATATTGATTTTTCTATATTTTTTGTAGATATTCATGTCATTAAAAAAAAATCCTGATGAATAGTATAATAGAGTTTCTAGGTCTTTCTCTAGTGTTGTATAGAGGTAATAAATTGTGCAATTTGACTGTGGTAACACTGTCAGAAGAGAGGGCTTTGCTGGTACCATTTTCATTATTTGCCTTTTGAATTTAGAATCTCTTTTTTGGATGTGCTGTGCTCAGTCATGTCAGTCATGTCTCTTTGCAACCCAATGGACTGTAGCCCACCAGGCTCCTCTGTCTATGGGATTCTCCAGGTAAGAATACTGGAGTGGGTTGCCATGACCTTCTCCAGGGGATCTTCCCCACCCAGGTTTCAAACCCGAGTTTCCTGCTCTCCTGCAAGCAGGTACTTTACCCACTAAGCCACCTGGGAAGCCCCTTTTGTGGATGAGCACTTAACATTTCTTACCTTTCTGATGTGTTTCAGAGTATTAGAATGTAATATCAGTATTTCCAACAGGTGGCGCTTTAACAATTAGAAAAAAGACCTGTGACATGAAACAATCTTTTGTAGCACCGCCATCATGTTCTATTAAATCAAAGTGTTTTAAAAGGATCTTGATGTCTGTCCTCAGCAAGGATTGCCTTTGATTAACAGTTGAAGAATGCACATCTCAGAAAAGTTGCAATATCCTTTATGGGTCACATATTTTGGTGGCTAAAGTGAAAACAGAATCTAACAGTCCTTTCAGTTTCACTGAAATTCTTACTACTTGAAATAGGGAATTCTTTTTTTTTTTTTCATTTATTTTTATTAGTTGGAGGCTAATTACTTTACATCATTGCAGTGGTTTTTGTCATACATTGAAATGAATTAGCCATGGATTTACATGTATTCCCCATCCCGGTCCCCTCTCCCACCTCCCTCTCCACCCGATCCCTCTGGGTCTTCCCAGTGCACCAGGCTCGAGCACTTGTCTCATGCACCCAACCTGGGCTGGTGATCTGTTTCACCCTAGATAATATACATGTTTCGATGCTGTTCTCTTGAAACATCCCACCCTCGCCTTCTCCCAGAGTCCACAAGTCTGTTCTGTACATCTGAGTCTCTTTTTCTGTTTTGCATATAGGGTTATCATTACCATCTTTCTAAATTCCATATATATGTGTTAGTATACTGTAATGGTCTTTATCTTTCTGGCTTACTTCGCTCTGTATAATGGGCTCCAGTTTCATCCATCTCATTAGAACTGATTCAAATGAATTCTTTTGAATGGCTGAGTAATATTCCATGGTGTATATGTACCACAGCTTCCTCATCCATTCGTCTGCTGATGGGCATCTAGGTTGCTTC